TCATTGTGCTCCATGCTCAATTGACCGGTGATGTCATGGGAGGAGATGGAGGGCTAATGCTAGTCTGACACCCCCATGATGGGGATAACTTTTTAGAGCTGTCAGTCAGTCAATGGCTGAGTTGACCCTGTGAAAAACACAGCTATAGCTCCAAAGAGAGCTATTGGACCGGCCCTCATCCACTGAGCCGTTTATTATACATACTTTAATGGCTGGACTGATCTGGGGTCAGCAAGAGACCCTGTGCCTTTGCCTTTCCTGCTATTCTGCTTCCTTTGTTGTTGTTTATGAGTGGAATAAAAAATGGTGTTGTGTTGACTGCCCTGTTCGGCTGTGATTTTCTCTCATCGGAGCTGAAGTCATGTGAAGCAAAGGGAAGTTAATGCTTCATGAGTGACATTGTACTACATACATAATACTAAATGGGATTCATGATTCAGCCGCTTATGAAAGATTTAACAGGAAGGATTGCTCAATTTTACACCTGCTTTCATCTTCGGGCTTGTTTGTCTGGCACTTATACAGGTGTGTTGATAATTAGCTGTTGTGATAAAGTGTCATAATGCAACAGTTTTTCTGTAGAAAAACAGGTTTATATTTATCTCAGGGTGTTAGCATGAGATTGGACCCCCTGGTTAGAGGGCTGAGAGGGGAAGGGAGGGAGGGAGGGAGGGAGGAGGTTAAGGAGGGAGGGAGGAAAAGAGATGGCGGAATAATGGGGGAAAGAGGTAACAGGGGGATGGAGGTTGTTGAAAGATATGTTATTGTAATATTGAACTCAACACAAACAAATGGAGAACCTATTAAAAATGTATCATCCTGCTTCCGCTTCCAAATAAAGCACCAGGGAGTTGCTAGGCTGAGAAATGCCTGCATAAAAAACGCGCTCAGGGAGGTAGATCAGAGGGAGAAGCCAAAAGCAACCCCCAAGTCAAAGCCAGAAATACAGATAAAAAGGAACGACAGTTTACAATATACTGTATGTACTGGGTTTTTAAAGGGCTATTATAACAAATGTTGTCACTTGTATCGTGTTTTGAATTCATAATTTTGAAATCTTATCATCTTTACCTAAGAGATTATGACGACAGTGCCTTGATTAATTCAAAATTAACAAAGTCCCTTGGATCATAAATAGTGTTCAATTGAAAAACCTTGGGTTTCCTTCATTCAGTATCACCGCCAGTGCAACGAAGGTGTACATTTACATATCAAAGGGCTAAACCAGCGCGTCTAGAATTTAAAGCATGCTCTGTTGTGATGTTGAAGAGCAGCAACACTGACATGAGAGGAAGTCTGTCTGTCTGTCCTCTTTACACATTCCCCTCTGTTGAGAAGAGAGACCATGTGGTTGCGTCTCCAAGGGTACCCTATTCCCTATATAGTGCATTACTTTTGACTAAAACCTGGTTAAAAGTAGTGCTCTATATAGGGAAAAGGGTGTCATTTGTAATGCAGACTACCTCTCTCAGTCAGTGAACGTAGAATAACACGCATACAAATTCCTGTCATAATGAGACACTTCAGGAATGTGGAACGCTGAAAATGTTTTTACCCATAAGACACCAGACCATGGACATGGATAAGTGGGGCATGTTCTAGATAGGGAGGTAAGAACATACTTCTCTCTTATCTGACAGCAGACCCCAATAATGCGTCTAAAATGACAACATATTCCCTACATAATGCATTAATTTTGAACAGAGCACTATAGGCCCTGGTCAAAAGTAGTGTACTATAAAGGGAATAGGGTACCATGTGGGACACAGCCTTGGAGATGTGTTTTGATTACAGCTCAAGCATTGACACATTAGCTAGTTCCTCTCATTAACTTAGAGTTTCTCTCATTACCCCTCTTCACCCCATTTTGTTCCATTTTCACAGCTTTTTGGTGGAAGCCATTAGCAGAAACATACCCGGCCAATCCAATACCGGGGCTATCACTGAAGTCAGACACATTAAAAGAGCGATGAAGCTCTTGACATTCTTCCCAACCTAACCCTGGCAACCCATGGTAGTCTATGGGATTTATTTGACATTTAATCATCATAGTGGGTGAGTTTGTACATTGTGAACAGGGTGTTCAAAATGGCTGCATTTTCTTCCTACCTATAGAGTTGCAAAATTCCAGTAACTTTCCCAAAATGTACTGGTTTTCTATGAATCTCAGTTGGAAGATTCACAGAATCAGGAGGGAATAAGCAGGGATACAGAATCCTCCAACCAGGATTCCTGGAAAATCTGGACATTTTGGGAAAGAATCAGAGTTTTGCAAACCTATTCCTACCCATGTATTGCTGAAAACTGTGGCTGGCCGGGAGTGCGTTTTCCACCTCTGACCTCTGCTGTTACGACATCTTAATTCACTGCTTGGCACCCTATACTGTATGACGACGTTTACAAGCCAAAGTTCTGACCTTTGAAAATAACTTTGTGGACAGGACTTGATAAAAATGTTAGAGGACTAAGGAGGAAAATAAAAGCAGTGCTAGCTGGTATTTTACAGGCTTGGGGAAAGCTACTGCAATTCATTTATGTTCTCTTTCTAACGATTTTTAAAGATTTGAGTATAGCTACAGAACCCATTTACCTAGAATTTATACATTGGCTTAAAGCATGGTTTTCCCCAGCACACCATTTGGATAACAATAAATGGACATCGGATATGGAGGAAATCGAGTGAGATTTCAGGCCTCCATCCTGGTTGTGGCGATGCTTTGTGTGTATGCACGTGCGTGCGTGCGTGTGTGCATGTCCGTGCATGCGTGTGTGCCTTTGTAGATACACGAGTGGGTACTGCGTGTGTTTGTGGATATGGAGTGTAATGTCTCTCCAGGTGTCCAGTGAGAGTGTGTCTAATGAGGCCTACTTTAGACCTCCCGCTGCACACCTCTTCTCTCAACCTCCCTCCACCTGTGCCTATATTTCAGCTGAGCAGGGCCTCGTGTAGCTCAGTAGGTAGAGCATTTGTGCTTGCAACGCCAGGGTTGTGGGTTCGATTCCCACAGGGGGCCAGTATAAAAAATGCATGCACTCACTAACTGTAAGTCACTCTGGATAAGAGCGTATGTTAAATGTAAATGGCTATGCATTGCTGTGTGTGTGTGTGTGTGTGTGTACGAGCTGTAAGGTAAGGGAACAGCCTTTCTTTGAATGCTACTGATCCCCAACCTGAAGAACATGAAAACTTAAGACCTGTGCTTGATAACAGCATGTAAATCTACAAATACTGTAGTTCTAATGTGACCTTTTAAATGCTAGTGACTCATTGACCCTAACACAAGAGGTGCTGAGGAGTAAAAAACCCTGTTTACACTAATCAGTCATCTGATTGTGAGGCAATTTGAATGTATTACATGCCTTTTACAGAGCAAAGTGTTTTGTACTGTACTTTTAGGCACCAAACACTGCATTCCACAGTAAGAACCTTTTACCAACGGTCAAGCATGGTGGCGGTAGTGTGATGGTTTGGGGATGCTTTGCTGCCTCAGGACCTGGACGAATTGCCTTAATAGAAGGAACCATGAATTCTGCTCTGTATCAGAGAATTCTACAGGAGAATGTCAGACCATCCGTCTGTGAGCTGAAGCTGAAGCGCAGCTGGGTCATGCAGCAATACAATGATCCAAAACACACAATCAAGTCTACATGAAAATTGTTTAAAAGCAACACATTTGACATTTTGCAATGGCCTAGTCAAAGTCCAGACCTAATCCCAACTGAGATGTTGTGGCAGGACTTGAAACGAGAAGTTCATGCTTGAAAACCTACAAATGACGCTGAGTTAAAGCATTTCTGCATGCAAGAGTGGGCCAAAATTCCTCCACTGCGATGTGAGAGACTGATCAACAATTACACAGAGCATTTGGTTGCAGTAATTGCAGCTAAAGGTGGCACAACCAGTTATTGAGTGTAAGGTGGCAATTGCTTTTCACACAGGGGAATTGGGTGTTGCATAACTTTGTTAATTAAATAAATAAAGTAAGTATACAGTTTTTTGGTTATTTGTAAACTCAGGTTCTCTTTATCTAACATTCGGTTTTGGTTGAAGATCTGATAAAATTCAGTATCAAAAATATGCAAAATTAGAGAAAATCAGAAAGGGGGCAAATACTTTTCACGGCGCTGTACATGACAGACTGTACACTGTACATGACAGACTGTACACTGTACATGACAGCATACAAATGTCATCAAGACATTCACCATGTTTTTTCCTCACAGAAACTGTATCATGTTAAATTCACAACTTCTCCCTCTCGCTTGTGGCCTCCTTAAACATACATTTTACCTCAGCTTTTACCAGATGTTTTCACTTGTTGGCACCATAAGGAGACTTGAATATTCCCAGGATTTTGCTGGTCTAGGGGCAGGGAGATAGCATTGGTGCAATAGTGGCTGGGTGTTAGTCGTTTTGAAATACACAGAAACAAATGTCTTTCATGTGACATAGGACTAGTCGGGTGTGACTAGCATGCTCTGCGGTCACACATGAGAGGTCAGTGTGTGTGTGTACGTATAATATGTGTGTGTGTGTGCGTGTGTGCGTGTGTGTGCGTGCGTGCACATATGTGAGTGCCGGCCGGCCACACATGAGAGGCCAGGAGACAGGCAGTGGTGCGGACATGGTTGTCACCACTAGTCGATGTTTACATCGCGGCTGCAGACATGGTGTTGTTACCGATGGTTACGGAGGCAACCCTAAGCTCTAGCTAACTTACCCGGTGCAGAGATGTCAGAGACATAGGAGCGAGAACACTTGAACCTGTAAACTGACATTTGTTGAGAGCTTTTATAGAGCAGTTAATGCTTCTGAACCATGTAGGATTATGCAAAGCTGCTTGACTTTCTCGCATGGAGTGAAATCTATTGAGGATATGGAACACATTGAGTGGGTGTAAACTAAGTATGCATTATTGCAATTTCACCTTTGTTGAAGTCAACACAGTCAATACATCTAATCACTGTCTTCTTTTATTTTCTTTCTATTTATCTTTCAGCCGCTGGACTATGAAACGAAGAAGGCCTACACCTTCAAGGTAGATGCATCCAACGCCCACCTGGACCCGCGGTTCCACAGCTTCGGGGCATTCAAGGACACGGCCACAGTGAAGATTAACATCCTGGATGTAGATGAGCCTCCAGTGTTCACTAAGCCCTCCTACGAGATGGAGGTATACGAGGACTCACCTGTAGGCGACATCATCGGAGCAGTCACCGGACAGGATCTGGATGCTAGCAACAGACCTGTCAGGTAAGTTAAAGGTCCTGAAAACTCATTCTGAAAAGTGCTTTATCTCTCCTGACTAACTACCACATTGTTTGAAATGACAGGCTGAGTGGGCGGGGAGCTTATATTCATGAGCTCAACTTGACTGCCAGCTCTTTGAAATGCCTATGTCAAGAAACTTGGATGCAGTGAGCAGTGTTGCAGTAAAATCATCTCAAGCAAATTTGTTGATACACAAAGCAACTCAAGCAACATTGAAATTGCATCAATGATATCATTTTTTTATGTACTTAACAAAAATATAAACGCAACATGCAACAATTTCAACAATTTTCAACGAGTTACAGTTTATATAAGGAAATCAGTAAATTGAAATGAATTTATTAGGCCCTAATCTATGGATTTCACATGACTGGGCAGGAGCACAGCCATGGGTGGGCCTGGTAGGGCATAGGCCCACCCAATTGGGAGCCAGGCCCAGCAAATAAGAATGAGTTTTTCCCCACAAAATGGCTTTATTACAGACAGAAATACTCCCCAGTTTCATCAGCGGTCTGGGTGGCTGGTCTCAGAAGATACCGCAGGTGAAGAAGCCGGAAGTGGAGGTCCTGGGCTGGCGTGGTTACACGTGGTCTGCGGATGTGAGGCAGGTTGGATGTACTGCCAAATTCTCTGGAACGACGTTGGGAGGTGGCTTATGGTAGAGAAATGAACATTAAATTCTCTGGCAACAGCTTTGGTGGAGATTCCTGCAGTCAACCTGGCAATTGCATGCTCCCTCAAAACTTGAGACATATGTGGCATTGTGTTGTGTGACAAAACTGCACATTTTAGAGTGGCCTTTTATTGTCCCAACACAAGGTGCACCTGTGTAATGATCATGCTATTAAATCAGCTTCTTGATATGCCACACGTCAGGTGGATGGATTATCTTGGCAAAGTAGAAATGCTCACTAACAGGGACGTGAACAAATTTGTGCACAATATATTTGAGAACTAAGCTTTTTGTGCATATTGAACATTTCTGGGATCTTTTATTTCAGCACTGACGGATATGTTGACATGACAACTGCGTCTGAGTTTTGAACAAACCTTCCCCCCCTTTTGTTCCATGCTGGCTGAAGACCTAGCTAGCCCGTAACTAGCTAACACAGATGAAATGAGAAACATATAAGTATCTTTGCCATAGATTAATAGTTTAAAGTTGTAGGATATCATTTTTAATAATTTGGCTGCTCTAAATTATTTTGACCAGCAGGTGCCACTACTGTACAATGTGTTGATCAAAGCCTTGAGTAATGAACCTATTTTTGACACAATTGGCTAGGAAGAATCAATTCTTCATTTCCCCATCACTAATAATAAGGTATACCACCTTAATGCTTCGCAACAATGGGATATACAAAGGCTTTTAGGGAACTCATACACTTCTGTAAGCTTCAGTGAGACTATAATATATATATATATATATATTTGTTTTAATGTTCAACTTTAACATGTAATACTTATACAACAGAACAGATGAATAGGAATTACATTTATTCTCATGGATGGCTAAAAATAACTTGCTGAATGCCACTCCCCTACTAAAGTATGCCTCCAGTCTTCTGATCTGACCTGCTGGGTCATATCTCAGTAACCCAGTATCAATAACCCAGCAGAAAACATCCCAAGTAATTGACCCAATGCGTGCAACCCAGCAGTTGGGTCAACCAAACAACCCAGCATTTTTTTTGGAGTGCAGTTGTAACTAACCTGATTCAGCTTATCAACCAGCGAATTATTAAAATAAGGTGCACTAGATTATCGTTAAGGTGAAAACCTACAGGACGGTAGCTCTCCAGAAACAGGGTTGGAAAGCCCTGGAATAGGACACTCGGTGGCACTGTAAGATCTTTGTTCCAGGTCTACACTAACCTGATTCAACAACAATAAAGCCCAAACCATCTCTACCTCTTTTGCTGTGTTACCCAGTCCTGTCAAGTAAAGTTACAGGTTTAATTATGGTTTAGGAAATAGGATGAGGAACTATAGGAGCTTGGGTAGTGCTGTAATACTATGTTCTTCACTCCTGGACCTGAGGTACTCTGACACATATACTTTTGTTACAGCTGAACAATACTAAACTGATTAAGTTACTCAACCAACAATGAAGCCAAAAACTCTCTCTCTGTCTCAGTGCAAAGCATATTTAAAATAAAATCTCAGCACATAGTACACAATTGAGTGTCCCGGCACAGATGGAAACAGAGCACATTGTAACAAAAATTATGAAGGGTGATTTGTCTTGGAGTCTATTAGTTAGACAGATTACTTTTTAGTTCTACAGTGGTCATTTTCCAATATGTACTACTCAAGGGTTGAACAAGACACAGATGACAAAGATAGCCTGTTGCAACCAAGAAAGTATTTGTTTTAATATGAATATTTCATCTCGTAAAAGACAATAGAATGGATGAGGCAGAGATTTGTAGAACAAAAAGCCTTTGCTCTCCATTGTTTAGATTTTTCACTTTGTCTTGAGTGTGTTTAATTATTCAGCAACTCCACATTTTCATGCCATGAAAGAAGAGACTGCTTTCTCACCTCCAAAACAATAGTACGAATGACCTTCCATGCATAGCAAATCACACTTTTAGAGTTTAGCCTCCACAGACTCCCACTTTTTAATGGTGGATCACCAAGTTATCTCTAACTGAGGGAAGAACAGGCATGAATAATGCATTTTACAGTTACTCCAAACATCAACTTAAAGTTCAGATTACTTTGAGGGATTGCATTTGTGCAACCTTTTCTGACATGACAAGAGGTCACGAACATCTGAAAGCATTGTGAAAGGAAGAGGTGCAGCATCCAGTGCCCTCGCTCGCCTTGGCTGTAAACTCTCCGCCTCCTCCATCATACTCTGTCACGAGAAAGGCCTTTATGGCCTCCTCAATAGTGACTCGATGGAGGCGAACGTTAGTTTGTGCTGTGGAGGAGAACAACACAAATACTTGACTGCACAGTCCACATTATTTCAGAATGTTGTGTTCAGTTGATGTGCAAGCTTCTTCTGCACAGACAATATTTCAGAGAAATATTGAACGGAAATATGTTCCAAAGTCATGAGTGGCAAATTGGAATTCTCTTTTGAGTTCTCTTTGTGACAGACTACACATTGTATGTGAAAGAGTAGAAGAGGAGGTGTGGTGAGGAGTTGTCTTTCCAACTACTCTAGTTTGAGGATCAGGCCGCACTTCAATGCCAATTGGTTGAACAGAGAAAGTTAAGCAGTTGTGAACTGCATAGATGTGCTGAATTCAGTGCTATGTCGCTGTCCATCGCCAGAGTGGTTCTAAACTGTAAAATGAACTATCCATGGTCCTGCACAGTGTCTAGAGCTGTCCATGGTTCTGAAAAGTATGCAGGGCTGTCCATGGCCCTGGATAGTGACTGGAGTTGCCCATGGTGCAAAACAGTGAGTTGAGCTGTCCATGGTGCTGAAAAATGGACTGAAGCACTATACGCTATCCTATCTGTTGAGTTTTGTTTTGCTTCTCTTGTTCACTCAGTTATTCCATTGACTGACTACACACATATGTTAGGTATTCACAATTAAGTATATATGATGTTACACAGCTGTTGATGTGTTTTTTATTTATAATATTTGCATATGGTGTTTAAAATGGGACTAGAGGATGATATTCTTTCTTGTAAATTGAAATATTAATATAAAATACAAGACTGGTGATGTGTCTTTTGGATACATAATAGAAATTAAGTTTGAAGGGATGGTATCTTTTCATACTAACCATTACAAAGGATATCTTAAAACTAGCATTTCAAAAGGGAGATCATTTATAAAGCTAAACTGATGAGACAGGTTGAGATTCAACCATAAAAATATCGGTAATGCCCAAAGGATGGCTTTATAAGCATTCACCCCTTTGAACCTGTAATCAGAGTTGTAGTGTAATATTCATCAAAGAAAGTAACACTGAACGGTTCTTACTAAATCAGGTCTACTTCAAGGCATTCAAATAAACAGGGTTAAAGAGAGGGCTAAGAGAACTGGGAATTTGAATAGAAAACCACCAGAATATTTTTTTAATGAAACATGTTATCTGGTTAGAACTTTACTCTGTCTCTTTAATGGCTGACTCTAAAACATGTTCTTGTTACTAACTCATAAATATGAGAGACAAGGTTTTAACCATTGACCTGTTTCTCAGTGATCAGAATCTCATGTAAGCTGTTGGAGAGCTGTGCTACCAACATTTTACATTCAAGGAAAAGTACAGTATAGGACCAACATATAATGAACATGCAGCTTGCATCCTTGTGTCTTAACGATGTCACTGCTTTCAGTTGCCCTTAACCCTCAATCAAATAATGTTTCTAGAGCAATGTTTCTTTTAAAGGCTGCTTGTGTTGTCTCCATTTGTGTTACTCTAGAAAAGCATTTTGTCAGCATAAACCAAGATATATGTGCCCCCATTACTCAATTAGGATGTATGCTGCTTACCACAGCCCATTTTGTAGAAATGCCCTTAGTGTATGAGTAATAAATAATTATTAACTGCGTCCCAAATGGCACCCTATTACCTATATAGTGCACTACGTTTGACCAGGGCTCATAGGGCTCTGGTCAAAAGTAGTGCATTGCATAGGGAATAGGCTGCCATTTGGGACACAGCCCCTGGGTCAATATATTACAACAAATTCTACACATTTGCCCATGGGGAAAATCAATTCCTTGCTACCCTCTTGTTTATGTGGGAAATGGCCTAATTTACCAAACTTTTTATCAGGTATTCCATTGACTGGAAAAGTGACCTGGACAGCTACTTTGACATTGATCCAGTGGAGGGAACGATTTCCACTAATGAACTCCTGGACAGAGAGAGTATCGCCCAGCACAATATCACCATTGTGGCCACCAAACTTAGTAAGTATGATGACAACAGATTGATCGTGATTCATGTAGGTGTCACTGTTGCCTTTCTCTATTGTTATCTGTGTGAAGAATTTAAGGTGGTTTTACTCAAGTCAATAGTCAATCCCATTTTGTGTGAGTCGTGTATGGGCGACCGTAAAGCATGATGGCTCCTCTGGAGCGTGTTTCATCAGGACATTGTCTCCTCTGGCCGTGCCCACCTAAAATGTCTCTTAAACTCTCTCTGTCTGACTCTTCATGCTTTACCATCTATACATTTTAACTGTCTTCTAAAGCATTTTAGGATCTGAGTTTTCTTGTTTGAATCATCTTATATTGACGATGATGAAGAAATTGTCTGTTTTCAGTCACGTCACAAAAAAGAGGTAGAGTCAAATATATGCATGATGGAGAGCCCTGCAGTGTTGCTTTAAGAGTTAATCACATCACTGTGAATTTAAGACATGCCATCAGACTAATTATGTTTTTATGAAGGAAAGTGAAGCAAATTTCCAGATAAATAAGCAAATCCATCGTCATCAAGTCATCAAATCTGCTAAGAGCCATCAAAGTCATTATCTGGGAGGCAGGCTGATGCTCAATCAAAATTACCCACGCTGTATTCTCATTAAGACGGACTGTGAAATAAGGGCCATTAAAAGTTGAGCTGCTTTTATCGCCTTGGAAACTAGAATTAGTCACTTCCCCTCAAGGTCGTATTGGGTGGGGGTGAAATGCTAATTCCTGTTTCTGTAGAGAATGGAGGAATGGATTGATGGAGGGGGTGGAGGGATGGAGAGCTGGAGGGTTGGAGGGATAGGGGGCTCAGGCCGTCATACTCATCATGTGAATCAGCGATTGTAATGCTTTTAGATGATTGTCTGTCTGTGTGCTCTGTTTTGTTATATTCACACTTTGTGGATAAAAATTGTATTGGGGGGCCAACCATGCAGGAGCTAATAGTCATAACATATTATTACACTACCCTACGTTTCTATTTGGACAGTGAAGCTAAAACTTTTAATTTGGCTCAACACTCTTAAAAATAAAGGTGCAAGTTGTAACCAAATATGGTTATTGAGAGCGATGACATATGGGAACCATTTTAGGGTTTCTAAAGAACCATATAAAAATCAAAAAACAGAAATGTTTCGGCCCTACAGGAACAGCCCTGTGCAGGGTTTTAAGCCTTATTTGAATATTTCCCAGGGTGCCTTTTGAGTATATTTTAGAGTTACCAGTACCACCCATGACTGGGTTTGCTAGTGACAAAGACATGGTTGTTGCATTCGTTCAATTTAACTCCTGTTGTCTTCACCAAGTGAGATCCTAAGTGAATATGAAGACAAAAAGGCTACACTACGGCATGTGCGACGACATCTATAATAATTTGGCTGTTCTACATTTTTGGGACCAGCAGGTGCTACTAGTGTACATTGTGTTGATCAAACCCTCGAGTAATGAACCTATTTTCGACACAATTGGCTGGAAATGCTCAATGCTTCAGGAAGCTTTATTTCCCCATCACTAATTCTATACTTCTTTACAATAAAAGTGACTCCAAAATGGCACAATATATTATTTCCCATTACTTTCTATTGTGCACAACATAATCAGAAAAATAACAGAATATTTAAAAAACTGTCACACAAATTTTAGCTTATCTACACCTACTACCAGTCCCCTTTATATATATATATATATATATATATATATATATATATATATATATAATTAATATTTAAGGCTAGGCTTGGTTTAGCCCCATCCTATATCTTAGCTATTTTATCTCCCTACGAGCCAGGACGCAGCCTGAGCTCCTCTGGCAGGGCACTGTTGACTATTCCAAAGTCTAGGTTGAAATGAAAAGAGACTGGACATTTGCCATTAGGGCCCCTAGACTTTGGAATGGTCTGCCAGAAGAGATCAGGCTTGCAGATTCAGTGCCTCTTTTTAAATCCCTACTGAAGACACACTTTTACAAAGATGCTTTTAATGTATGATTTCAATGTATGATTTTAATTAGCTGTCTTTTTCATTCTCCTCCTGTCTTTGTTTCTTTGTGAGTACTTTTATTTTATTGTATTGAAAATCACTTTTCAAATAAAGTTATTATTATTATTATTATTATTATTATTATTATTATTATTATTATTATAATTATTATTATTACTACATTGATTTTAACAACTAAACTATTGCACCATCTAGTGGGGAAACAATTGTGTCATGTGCTAAAATGAATGAACCAGTCAGCAAATTGGATAGGATGAGGTTTCCCTTGCAGTTCCTTGAATGATATAAATGCCATTTATTTAACCCTATATTATTTAGCGACCTCTATTTGATTGTAAATGTAGTTTGCAATACAAAAGTCATAGAACTCTTGCTTCCTAAAAGGATACAATTCACCTCTCATAGAAATAGTCTTTAATAGACATAATTCTCAAAATATGTTTCTTTCATTGTATTTCGATGGTTCCGTTGCTCAATGTTCTGGGTCAAAGAGGGCCAAGAGAAAACCCTTAACAGATAAAAAGATCACAGGGATGGAGAGATGCAATGTCCACAATTTCTGCCAGCGGAGTATCAGTGTTAGTGGTGGCGGTCGGTGTGATCAGAGAGAGCAGCAAATCCCGTACTCAGTCATTTTTCCTTCAGTGAAGAAGATTGCTTTTTCCATCAAGGTCACACACAAGTCTCTAGCTGAGCCTTAGCTGTATGTCTGATTCCCCTGGGGAGGGGAGGAGGGCCATCCACCATCCACCGCTCCCATCCCTGTAAGCCTCCACTGCAAAGCTTAGCCGAAACCCCCACTTCACAACCATCAAGTTTACCTTCACTTCTGCCTTGCACTACAAAAAATAGTTCCAGCTGTATGGAAATGTTGTATAAAAAGCAGAGATTCTGGTAAAAGCTTCTATAGTGAGGTTTGACAATGTCATTAACCTCTACGGGATCGGTGTCCCTTATACTGGACGGTTGAGCTAACGTGCGCTAATGTGATTAGCATGACTGTTGTAAGTAACAGAAAACTTTCCAGGACATAGACATGTCTTATATGGGCAGAAAGCTTAAATTCTTGTTAATCTTACTGCACTGTCCAATTTACAGTAGCTATTACAGTGAAAACATGCCATGCTATTGTTTGAGGAGAGTGCACAACATCAAAAAGCTTATCACGGCAACTGGTTTGATACATTCACCTCTGAAGGTAAATAATGTACTTACATTCAGTAATCTTGCTCTGTTTGTCATCCTGAGGGTCCCAGAGATAAAATGTAGCAAAGTTTGCGCCTAAACTGCAATATTATATTGTGGCCTTTCTCTTGCATTTCAAAGATGATGGAACACAACAAAAAATAGAAAACACATGTTTTTTTGTTTGTATTATCTTTTACCAGATCTAATGTGCAATATTCTCCTACATTAATTTCACATTCAAACAAACTTCAAAGTTTTCCTTTCAAATGGTATCAATAATATCCATATCCTTGATCAGGTCTTGAGCTACAGGCAGTTAGATTTGGGTATGTCATTTTAGGCGAAAAATTGAAAAAAAGGGTCAGATCCTTAAGAGGTTAATATGTGACTTGCATTTTAACAGCAGTTTAAACTGGCATGGGAGAATTCTGAGGTAGAATGGTTTGCACAATCTATACAGGACTGTACACAAATAATGGGTTCAAGTATAGCTATCAACTTTCAGTCATGCTGCGTTTATTGTTCATGGAATATAGTCTTCTGTTTTTAGATTCCCTGAAAGAACATATTTATTTAAAGAGGCAATCAGCAGTAGAAACAATAACAAAGCATTCTTCCCCGCCCCTGTTCAGTAAAAAGCTGAAGGATGGGGCTGGAGAAATGTAACCATTCTCTAATTCATAGACAGAGCTATGGATGAAAGGACTGACCTTCCATGATATCAAAATCATAGTTTTAACCATGTTTTGAAGCAATATAGTGTTTGTTTACATTTACTTTGTTTACAAACATTGGAGTAAAACAAGCTTATATTAGTGGTTCTGATGGGGTATAAGCTATATTCTTCAAGAATCAATAGGTACATTAATAATTAATTTATAAGTCAAGAAAATCGATGTAGCAACTGCTGATTGCCCCTTTAAAGGTATTGACTTCATATATTATTTTCCAATACATTGACACTTTTGAGGAATACATCAGGCATCTAAGAACTTCCACGCAAACCACAACGGTCACGTTGTGTGTGCCAGCGTTGCAAATAAAATTTACACATACATGCTGCTAGAACTGCCCCGGTCAACTGTAAGTGCTGTTATTGTGAAGTGGAAACTTATAGGAGCAACAACGGCTCCGCCGCGAAGTGGTAGGCCACACAAGCTCACAGAGAGGGACCGCCGAGTGCTGAAGCGCACAGTGTGTAAAAATCGTCTGTCCTCGGTTTCAACACTCACTACCAAGTCCCAAACTGCCTCTGGAAGCAATTTCAGCACAATAACTGTTTGTCGGGAGATTCATGAAATGGGTTTCTATGGCCGAGCAGCCGCACACAAACCTAAGATCACCATGAGCAATGCCAAGCGTCGGCTTGTTGCCTGGAGTGATGGAAACGTGTTGCCTGGAGTGATGGATGATGCTTCACCTGGGTTTGGCGGATGACAGGAGAACACTCCCTGCCCCAATGCATAGTGCCAACTGTAAAGTTTGGTGGAGGAGGAATAATGGTCTGGGGCTGTTTTTCATGGTTTGGGCTATGCCCCTTATTTCCAGGGAAGGGAAATCTTAATGCTACAGCATACAATTACATTCTAAATAATTCTGTGCTTCCAACTTTGTGGCAACAGTTTGGGGAAGGACCTTTCCTGTTTCAGCATGACAATGCCCCCGTTCACAAAGCGAGGTCCATGCAGAAATGGTTTGTCGATATTGGTGTGGAAGAACTTAACTAGAATGCACAGAGCCCTGACCTCAATCCCATCGAACACCATTAGGATGAATTGGAACGCCAACTGCGAGCCAGGCCTAACTGCCCAACATCAGTCCCCGACCTCACTAATGCTCTTGTGGCTGAATGGAAGCAAGTCCCCGCAGCAATGTTCCAACATCTAGTGGAAAGCCTTCCCAGAAGAGTGGAGGCTGTTATAGCAGCAAAGGGGGGACCAACTCCATATTAATGCCCATGATTTTGGAATGAGATGTTCGACGAGCAGGTGTCCACATACTTTTGGTATTGTGGTGAATGTCCGTGAATGTATCATGTTTGTTATGACATGCCCCCAAATCTTTGTAAGATTTTTTTTTTAACAATACAAAACATACACATACAAAAGACGACATACAGATGCACACAAACACCTGCTCAGACCTACTTGTTCTCACCCCTACATTCAGTGCCTGCACTACTCTCTGCCACATATCCTCAAATTGCACCATTTTGTTCCTCTCCGTCGCCCACGTTCTTCCAATATTTACATAATGAAGTATATTATTTTTTTCCATTGTCTTAATGATGTAGGATTGATTGATTTCCAGTTTTACGTATATGTTTTTTCAAGATAATTAAAGAGAAGAGTATCGTCCAACCCATCGGGTATCTCACTGCACCCTCGTATGACATGTTTTGAAATATGCAGACAGACGGATTAAAAGTAAATTGACATTGTAATACTTCTGACAGCCAACTTTCTAACTCCACCCATCATTTTTGGACTTTATAGCATTTCCAGAATGCATGGTTTATTGAGTCATTGTTAGTTTTACACTTAAGACATTACTTTGTTGTTATGCTGTAACATGTGTGAATTTTATAATACATTGTATAATACATGTATAATACATTCTATAAATTAGTTTATACTGGATTAAGCGTACATTTTCACTAACTGTACATTTGTTAGTTATGTTCCAACAATCCCTCCATCTTGTGCCAATATCAGTTATGTTTAAGTCTTGGGGTTTTTATATTTTAACCTGCATGTCATGATCGGGTCTGGTGTGGATGGACAGAATCAACCCGCGTGGCCAGTGTAGTCATCATTTTACCATTTGCCAATTCTAAGACTGCAGTGCATATTACAACCACATGATGTCAGGGTTGTAAAATCAATGGGGAATTGTCTCACACGGTTTTCTCTCTTCATTCATGTACTAACCCACAGGCAAGCACAATCAAACTCATTAGAAACATTTATAACTGCTCATTGTTGTTTATTGTGTGATTTTGACTCTTCAGATAGCCCAGTGCTGACCAGTAGAGTGGCTGTCACCGTTCATGTACTGGATGTCAATGAGTTTCCCCCTGAACTAGGCATCCCTTACGAGAGCTTTGTGTGTGAAAATGCCAAAGTAGGCCAGGTAAGTGAACGTGTGTCTGAGCATGTGTGTGTGTGTGCGTGCGTGTGTGTGTGTGTGTGTGTGTGTGTGTGTGTGTATGCGTGTGTCATCTTGAAGTATGCTCAGAGGCACTGTCTCATTAAAGGTGCCATATTGATAAAAAGGTCAGTAGGGAATTTTGAAAAGAACATCCTTGAATAAAATGCTAATAGTGAAGGGAAGGATGACTGATTCACAGTAATAGTATGTGCGTCCACACAGAGAGGCTACGTACCAAAGCACTACTTTTGACCAAGGCCCATAGGGAAAAGAACCAGTTAAAATAGAACCAGTAAAATCTCATCTTCGGCTGTATACAATATGCCTTTACATTATGATTTAAAACCAAATAAATCATATAGAACAACGGCCCATTGCCATGCATAGCACAGGTATCGTTCTATCAAAGTTTTGCATATTGCTAAAACCATCTGCTTTATTTTAGCTAATGGAGGGGGCATGGTGTGCTTTCCAGATCAGCAACCAAGTGTACATTCCAGATTATATATTTTGATGCAGAGGAGTCTCTGCCTGTGCGCATTGTAAACCACATGTGCCTACAAATTAGCCTATTAGCAAACATCTCCATGCACGTGCCGACAGAGCTCCTTTGGCGGTTTAACAAATAGCTAGAAAGACTTTCCATTAACACACTGAAGAAGCATTGCTTATGCTTACCCATGCCTTGCTCAATTAACCATTATTTTTAAAAGTCCTGAACAGTCATTCTGATTCCCATGGAAAATAGCCTTTTGAGTGACTAAAACATTACACAATATTTCTTACAGATAAAAATAACTTTTTCTCTCATGTCAAACTACCAGGAAGTCTGAAAAGACAGACTGAAGTGGCGGGGAGCTATTAGGCCATGACCCAGAAACCGATAAGTGGTCGAAAATTGTATCAGTTCATTAGTAGGCAAACGAACGCGTGTCCTCCCCTCCTCGATAGCCATCTTTCATTGAGGATACTCATGTTTCCTACCGCGGAAGAGTTTTGAAATCTGCCACACCCCCTTTGAATCAGCTTTTGTTTTGTCAGAAGAGAAAAACATACACGTTTAAAAACATGCACAACTCACTTTAAACATTTATTTTGGGATCCACCCCCCTAAAAGTAATTTCCATAATGACGCGCAAGTGGAGAAGGACCGTCTCATTTCAAGCAAGCGCATTTCCATCCACGTTCACTCTCCTCGCCAACTCTCCTCGATTAACTTTGACCTTTTTCAAAAGGATGCGTGAGAGGACGGAGGAGAGAGGACGCAGGAGGTGAGCAAATCTAATTGATGAAAGGTCCTTGAACGGCGGTTCTGTAATAACGCCTATGTCAAGCAACATGGATGCAGTGAGCGGTGATGCAGTGAGATTATCTAAAGCAAATTTGCTGATACACAAAGTAACTCAAACAACATTGAAATTGCATGCAACATCCAATCCTGTCATACATCACTTCACGGTTTCACAAATGATGTGTTTATTCAACTGTTTGGTTATTGTAACAGCATAAATATAGACAAAATGTTCGCTGTATCATTTAGCCAGCGAGCCCAAATGGCATTGTCAGCACTGTTTATCAAGCTAGTTAGCTAGTTCAGCTTGGACAAATTCTGTTGAAATGTCACAGGTTGAGGTAGCAGCACTTTTCAATAAATATATGCAGACTGTCAATGATGTCAAGAAGTTTGTATACATTTTCAGTTAGGCATGTCTCTTAATATAATGAATCAGAGTTTGGGGCAACCCTTCCGCCACTTTTGTTCTATGCTGGCTGAAGACCATGCTTGCCAGTTACTAGCTCACACCAGACACAGATGAAAGCAGAAACCTTTTTTTATTTTTTTTATTTTTTATTTAACCTTTATTTAACCATGTAAGCCAGTTGAGAACAAGTTCTCATTTACAACTGCGACCTGGCCAAGATAAAGCAAAGCAGTGCGATAAAAACAACAACACAGAGTTACATATGGAATAAACAAAAACGAACAGTCAATAACACAATAGAAAATAGAAAATCTTTATACAGTGTGTGCAAATGTAGTAAGTTATGGAGGTAAGGCAATAAATAGGCCATAGTGCAAAATAATTACAATTTAGCATTAACACTGGAGTGATAGATGTGCAGAAGATGATGTGCAAATAGAGATACTGGGGTGCAAATTAGCAAAATAAATAACAATGTAAATAACAATATGGGGATGAGGTAGTTGGGTGGGCTAATTACAGATGGGCTATAAGTATCTTTACCTTACATAAATAGGGGAAACCTAAATTATATTTGCTGACACGCTGCAGTCATATTTTGGCACCAGTAGACTAGCTAGCTACCTATGAAAACAACGTCCCTCTGCGAACACACCTTCTGCGATGTTGGTTACAAGGCAGTACTTATTTAAATTAGGTAAGAGAATAAGACATTACCATTGGTGTATTAAATTGAGGCTTTTGTGATGTCACAAAAAGCTCTTAATAATCCCGCCTGGGGGAGGGACCATTAACTTTATGATCAAACTTTATCAGTGTAGAAGCAACAGTAATTTTTCATACTTTGGTAGTCCTACTTTGATCTGGTTTCATCCAAATATCATCACATTTCCATACAAGTATTTTTCACAGCAAGATTCCGCCAGGTGTTACTCACAGCTGGTCGGCGATAAAGAATTGCAGGTCTTCTTTTGTAAGAGCAATCATGTCCCCCTTGATGGTTAGCCGTCCTCACACTGCCTGCCAAAGAACAGACAAAGCACTTATAGTACAGTACAGGTATTCTGAAGCATATCACGCTGTGCAGCAGCAACCTCCCCTGAACAGTCATCTATAACCAGGGATGTATTCAAGTGAGAAAAACAAGAGAGATATATTTCCATGTGAAAGCAGGGAGGAAGGCCACAGGACAAATACCCTGTTTCAACATTCTCAGTAAAACAGATTAAGCAGAGAAAAAACCATTATCAAAAACACGCTTGAATGCTTTCTGAGATAAAGAGGGTTGAGTTTAGTGAGGCAGTGGACTGCCTTCCCAAACTGAAACCCCATGCACGGAGAGGAGAGTTGCGATGCGAGGAGAGGAGGCGAGGAGAGGTGGCAAGGCTAAACAACCTCCCATTGAGATCATAGCCCTGTGCACTGATCGACGTTTAGAGACACTGTTAATGAATTTTCTCTTACAGATATGTCCCTGTTCAGTTCACCAGCATGTATGGATCACTTTGTGGCCAATACACAATGATAATAGAGCTAGGTTTTATTGCTGCAGAGATTTAGGAAAAATAAAAACGACATTCTTAATTTATTTTAAATTGTCTCTATTCAATGGAGTATAATGTGGATACACAGCTGAGTCCCTGGGCATTAGATGATTAAACAGAAAGTTTGTCTATGCTTCATTATGTATTCACAGGAGTGGTCAGGGGAATACGGTATGTTCACTCTGAGGGTACTAATAGAATGCTGCAGGGGGCAGGTCTTCTACATTATATTTACAAATCATGGCTTTATGTCTAATAAATCACAGGAAAAAATTAATAATGAAATTAACTCCAAATATATTTTTTATCATTTATTTTCCCTGAGCCCCTTTTTGACACTGAAATGTGCAATCTAATGTATATTGACTGCACCGCCCCTTTAATATTGTTGCAAGCCCAAAAAATATGTACAAATACAACAATTTCTTGATGTAATTTTTCATGAGTCATGGAACTTAAAGGATAACTTAACTAAATGTCCCGACATCTTGAGTTTATTGTGTCTAGACGATACTAAAATACTATCTCAACAGCCATGCAATCCTTTGATGATTTTCCTTCAGTTCAATGTTCAAACATTTTTCTCTCTCAGGTAATTCAAACCTTCAGTGCAAAGGACCAGGATCTTCCACAAAGGGGTCATAAGTTTTCCTTCAAACCATCAGAGAGGGACGTCAACAACAAGAACTTCACTATCCGAGACTTTGGAAGTGAGTTATCTTGACCAGGTTTCTGACACTGTGCCAGTCAAGAAGAAAAAGTAGTCCACATAGTGAATAAGCATGATGACAGCAGCTAACATATCTCTAGGTGATACAGTGAATCATAACACCTGCTAAAAGGTCACAGCAGGCTCCTTTAGACATATGTTGTTGTGGGTACCTGATAGACAGTATATATATATCATATAACCCAAGAAAAGTACTGCATATATTTATTAATTTTGTGCAGCAGCCATAGCCATCACCAATGGGAGTCAACTATCTAAAATATGTATAAAAATGAGTACTGTTGTGTCAATTCTATATGATTTAGAATATGTAGTCATATATACATATAAACGCAACATGCAACAATTCCCCCCCTCCTCAGATGATCCCGCAGGTGAAGAAGCCGGATGTGGAGGTCCTGGGCTGGCGTGGTTACACGTGGTTTGCGGTTGTGAGGCCGGTCGGCTGTACTGCCAAATTCTCTAAAACAATGTTGGAGGCGGCTTATGGTAGAAAACTGAACATTCACTTCTCTGGCAAAAGCTCTGTTGGACATTCCTGCAGTCAGCATGCCAATTGCACACTCCCTCAAAACTTGAGACATCTGTGGCATTGTGTTGTGTGAGAAAACTGCACATTTTAGTGGCCTTTTATTGTCCCCAGCACAAGGTGCACCTGTGTAATGATCATGCTGTTTAATCAGCTTATTGATATCCTATACCTGTCAGGTGGATGGATTATCTTGGCAAAGGAGACATGCTCACTAACAGGGATGTAAACACATTTGTGCAAAACAATTTAGAGTAAGAAGCTTTTTGCGCATGTGGAAGATTTCAGGGATCTTTTATTTCAGCTCATGAAACATGGGACCTACACTTTACATGTTGCGTTTATATTTTTGTTCGGTATAGTATATTCTCAGAAAGGTATAATGTCTCTTTCCAATGGGCATATTGCGAAACACACCCTTTGAAGACGGGTGTGAGTATGACCCATTGCAGTATGAAGCTGTGGAAACAAATTCATTTCTCAACCTTGAAGAGAGACCTGGCTTGAACCCCTGATCCAGTTTTACCTTTTGGACACAGAGCCTCACAGCTTTCCGCCCTGCCGTCACAGTGCCAACAGGCACAATCTCCAGATACAGGGATGAGATCTGATGCGCAGGGACAAGGCATTCAAAGCACCAAAGGCGAAGTCTAGCAAAGCAGGAGAAAATATTTAAAAAAACACAATCTGCATCCCAAATGGCACCCTATTCCCTTTGTAGTACACTATTCAAGTAGTGCACTATAAAGGGAAAGTGTGCCATTTGGGACGAACCTATAGTCTGTGCATAACATGTAAGGTGTGTTGAGACACCTTGACCCTTCTGTCAGGAAAAAGTCCCCGGCCTTGTCAGAGGAACAAACCAATCCTGACAGGGGTCAGACAGTCTAGCCACACTGGACAGGTCTGGGGCTGGTCCAACCTGACACATCGCCCTGTTCCTGAGAAAAAACTGTCCAGGTCTATTCCTCTGACCAACTTCACACCTGCTCCAGCACCACACCAACGCCACCTTACTTTCTTAGTACATGGTTCCCTTACTCCCCTTACCAGGCTACATGGTTCATTTACTCTTAATCATTGTTTAACCTTCAATTTTCCTAGAGTTATGTTCGCTAAATGAACACATAGAAACCACAAAAGTTCCCCTGCACACTCAGTTGTAGGGGATAAGGAGGGTAGGGCTGGCAGGTTGTCCCGGAGGCAATTTAGACATTTTCAGAGTTGACTTGCTGGCTGAGGGACACAAAACAACCAACAGAAACACATGCACAAGAATGCACAGGTTCAGTGACAGCATTATCATTGTCTCATTGTATAGGCTAGTGTATCCCGAATAAGACTATAATGAACAACAGTCATGAGTAGTTACATTTGTTTCTTTCTGTTCCAGATAACACTGCGGGGATAGTGACTCTGCGGAGCGACTTCCGACGGCGTTCCCAGGAGATCTACATCCTTCCTGTGGTGATCCAGGACAGCGGCTACCCCGTCCAAAGCAGCACGGGCATTCTGACCATCCGTGTGTGTGGCTGCGAGTCGGATGGATCGCTCCTCACCTGCAGTGCAGAGGCCATCTTCCTCCCAGTGGGGCTGAGTACAGGGGCCCTGATAGCCATACTCCTGTGCATTGTCATTCTACTGGGTGAGTCATTTACTATGCCTCATTCACTCCTCTTAGTCATTGAATGTGTGATGGAGTTCATCACTTTAAGGCCCACCCTGGGCATCAACCAACATTCACAAAAACACTAACATACTCACAAAGCAGCGTCATAACCACTAGACTAACCACCACCATAGTCAGTATATCATAATTCTACTGGGTGCGTATTGAGTAATTTACCCTTGTGGTAGGTCCTACTCAGTTATGACTGTGTAATTTCTTGTTGTATGGCTGACTACTGGGGCTTTGATAGCCATCCTCCTGTCCATCGTCATTCTACTGGGTGAGTCATTTAAAGCTGTGGTAGATCCTCCTAATCAGTAATGCCTGTGTAACAGATCAGTGTGTGTCCCTGTACGGACGACGCAGGAAACAAACCCACATTAACTCTCTAGAGTCTAAGCCCTGTCTAAGCCAGGGGAGAGGGGTTCTAAGCTAACATATGGAATTGTTTTAAGGTGGTCTACCAAGGATCATTTAGCTATTAGAATTTTAATTGAAATTGAGCTCAGGTGCATCCTGTTTCCATTGATCATCCTTGAGATGTTTACACAACTTGATTGAAGTCCACCTGTGGTAAATTCAATTAATTTGATATGATTTGGAAAGGCACACACCTGTCTATATAAGGTCCCACAGTTTGACAGTGCACGTCAGAGCAAAAACCAAGCAATGAGGTCGAAGGAATTGTCCGTAAAGCTCAGAGACAGGATTGTGTTGAGGCACAGTCTGGGGAAGGGTACCAAAAAATTTCTGCAGCATTAAAGGTCCCCAAGAACAAAGTGGCCTCCATCATTCTTAAACATAATAAGTTTGGAACCACCAAGACTCTTCCTAGAGCTGGCCGCCCGGCCAAACTGAGCAATCGGGGGAGAAGGGCCTTGGTCAGGGAGGTGACCAAGAACCCGATGGTCACTCTGACAGAGCTCCAGAGTTCCTCTGTGGAGATGGGAGAACCTTCCAGAAGGACAACCATCTCTGCAGCACTCCACCAATCAGGCCTTAATAGTAGAGTGGCCAGACGGAAGCCACTCCTCAGTAAAAGGCACCTAAAGGACTCTCAGACCATGAGAAACAAGATTCTCTGGTTTCATGAAACTAAGTTTGAACTCTTTGGCCTGAATGCCAAGCATCATGTCTGCAGGAAACCTGGTACCATCCCTACGGTGAAGCATGATGGTGGCAGCATCTTGCTGTGGCAGGGACTGGGAGACTAGTCAGGATCGAGGGGAAGATGAACGGAGCAAAATACAGAGAGATCCTTGATAAAAACCTGCTCCAGAGCGATCAGGACCTCAGACTGGGGTGAAGGTTCACCTTCCAACAGGACAACGATCCTAAGCGCACAGTCAACACAACGCAGGAGTGGCTTTGGTACAAGTCTCTGAATGTCCTTGAGAGGCCCAGCCAGAGCCCGGACTTGAACCCGATCTAACATCTCTGGAGAGACCTGAAAATAGCTGTACAGTGACACTCCCCATCCAACCTGACATAGCTTGAGAGGATCTGCAGAGAAGAATGAGAGAAACAAACAATTCAAGAAATCAACCTGCACTAGAGTATGCTGGGAAATATAATAATGATGGGCATGGTTTTGGTTTGACACTGGTTATTAACACCAACACTGTGGTTCTTTTACACCAATTAGTGTTCATTTAAGACCTACAGAGTTAATTTAACACTTTAATCAACACTAGAAATGAAAAATCTACACGAGGTAACATTGGCCAATTTGGTGTAGCAGCGAGAGAGAGAGAGGGGATGTAAATATCACTTTTTTGCCTTGTGTTAAAACTGGTTCTCTTTTTACAGTGTAGGTCAAGTATGGCCGTGACCCATATAGAATTATCAAAAAGTTTTCATCATTAGCCATAGAATTCTTATTTTTTCCCTTCCACCCAGAATCCACTACTTAGCATAATGAACAGGAAAAGCTAAAGGGATATGATCAACTTGCAAACCCATGTTTAATTACCTAATTGGTTATGGTTAGACGCTAAGGTTAAGGTCAGTGTTATGGTTAAGTTAGGGTCAGGGTTAGAGTTATGGGTTGGCATGCCAGTCACGTCCCTTTAGTTACACCTATAATTAACTGAGTGTGATTAGGTGTCATTTCACCAAGTGATGGGGGCTCACGTGTGAAAGTGTCTGTAAATGCCAGTTCTACTCATCATCGGCAGTGTTGCAATCAGGGCTGCATTCAGGGAGGTTTTTGTTCAGATGGGACTGGACAGAGTCTTTTAGCTCTTCTGCTTGTAGTTTGCAGAGGTTGTATTTCTGTGTAGGGGTTTTGGGTTGCTTTCTTTGCCTGGGAGCCAGTCTGATGGCCATCACAGATTTGACTAGGCGGTGGTCAGTCCAGCAGGCTTCAGTACCTCAGATGGCATGGGTGATGTTTACATCCCTGAGGTCTTGTGATCTCATAATGACGTAATCTATTAGATGCCATTGTTTTGAGCGAGGGTGCTGCCATGTTGCTTTGCGTTTGTTGCGTTGCCTGAACACTTTGTTGGTTATCGGGAGTTCTGCACCGTTGCTGAGTAGTAGGAGTTTGTTTTGCCCACTCCTTCCTTCCCGATGGTACCTCTCAATTTGGTCTCTGCCCACACGTGCATGTAGCATTGCTTTCCTTATGCCGTGCTTGCTTTGCTCTGCTCTGCCTTGCATTGCTCTGCCTTGCGTTGCGTTGTGTTGAATTGCTCTGCCTTGCTTTGCTGTACTCTGCATGCTACTTCACGGAGTGATGCTCCTGCCCCATGCTCAGTGTAAAGTATTAGATGTATCACTGTTTTCATTGTTAAAGTGTAAGTTTATGTATCAGCTTAATATCAACCAACGTGTGTTATGATGCATGCATACGTAATTAATAATGTCTATATAATCTTGAGATTCAGAAAGCATAATTTGCTATTAGCCGCTACTGCTACTAGCCACATCACTTTAAACTATGCCCTTGCATCTAAGATGTAACTTGCTCTCGCATATGGAATGTAAATGCATGTACAGAGGATAATTCTGTATTAATGTGTCACTTGGACCACACCATGGCATCAAGTCTCCACTATCTCAACTTTTTAGAAATTACGTGTCTACAAAGATAATGGGGTTTAGAGATTGTTCAAAGAGTGTTGATTTCATTAGTTAGTCTAGCCAACTTCGAGGAGTTATTTTTCATGTTGAGAGTGAGTCCTTGTTTGTATGAAGGAGGCCCTCTTCACCCTCTGTGCTCTCTGTGAAGGTAGAGTTAGTGTTGAAAGGGTTGACCACGTGGTGAGAGAACTGTTATCAGAGCTCAGTCAACATGCCTTGAGGCTCTGGCTGGCATCGCTGTTATTCCATCAAGTCATGCTGTCCCTGAGGAAGTGCCAGAGTGAATCACAACTTACAGGAATAAACTCTCTTTTTGAAAGCCAGTTATTTTTTTGTGGTGGATATGTCAAGCTGACAAAGTTGTTCCTTTCTTTGTGGAAATGATGGGGAAATCAAGCTGTTTGTCGAACTGGCTGGCATGAGGGCCTGTCTGGCATTAGCGGTACCTCCCCATACCATCAAAATTAGACCACACCCAGCTACCACCCCTATACAGCTAATCAAATGGCTACCCGGACTATTTGCATTGTTTTTTACATATCCATCAATTTTTTACTCAACACTTTTTTTTCTTAAAACTGCATTGTTGGTTAAGGGCTTATAAGTAAGCATTTTACTGTAAGGTCTACACCTGTTGTATTCGGCCATGTGACTAATAAAATTGGATTTGATTTGAAAGAACTGTCCAAATAATATTGACCATGCATGAAATATAAAACCTTGACCAACGGGGGGAGCTGACGCACTGTTTGACTCATATATCATAGAAGAGAACGCTAAGGAGAAGGAAAAGGAGAAGGGCATTCAAGATTACAGTTCTCATGCTTTCTATTGTTTTTGTCAATTTTCAACCAATTTATTTCTTCATTTCAATTGAAATACTTTCTCTACATGTGTTGAACTGTACATTCCTTTCCCTTGTGAATAGTCCAATTGAAGAACCACATGGGAAATGTGTACTGTATTTACCACAGCGAGGAGGGAAAAACTGTGGAATAATCTTTCGTCCCCCTTACTTTACAAAATGAGTGTGGGAGATGTGTGTTCGATATGGGCAGCTCCAGGTAGAGGGAATTTGGAAGAAACTGTGGAGGTACATTCTTAAGAATAACCATCCACCCCCCTGGAATGATCAGTGTATTTTGCTTGACTACAATGCAATGTCAGTAGGCTACATCATGTTTTTTGTCATGTCAGTACTCAGTACATAATGTCTGTTGCTAAGGAACAACATGTGTGGGAGATTTGGTCACTTCATCATTGGCAAGTCACATGAATGCATACCAGGGAAATGTTTACCATCTCAAGTCACCAACAAAAACATAAACAATGGATCAAATGCAGTCCATTACATTTCCCCAATGCAAGTAGCTCTTTATATTATCTCTTACTTTTCATCAAACACTAATGTGTCATCTATCATCTTTGATCTCTCTCCAATGCTGTATTAGCAATATCATAACCAACACCATATACCACCATATACCAATACCATTAAGAGTGATTCATCGTTTTCATAAACCACTAATGCGTTATTCTCTCTGTGATCTCTCTCCAGTGATCGTGGTCCTCTACATGGGTCTGAGACGACAGAAGAAGAAGGAGACACTGATGACATCCAAGGAGGACATCCGTGACAATGTGATCCACTACGACGATGAGGGAGGGGGCGAAGAGGACACCCATGCTTTCGACATGGGCACCCTCCGAAACCCCAAAGTCGTCAAGGAGAACCTTCTGAAAGAGAACCGGGACCTATTCCGACGGGATGTCAAACCCGAGCCCAAAACCGGCAAAAAACGACCACCTGTTTCCCAAGACAGTGCAGATATCCGTGACTTCATCAATCAGCGACTGAAGGAAAACGATGTGGACAACTCGGCCCCACCCTATGACTCTCTAGCTACCTATGCCTTTGAGGGAGAGGGCTCTGTAGCAGAGTCACTCAGTTCCATCGAGTCTCTGGTAGTAGATACCGATGAGGACTATGATTACCTAAATGAATGGGGTCCTCGATTTAAGACTCTGGCGGGAATATTCGGAGAGCAGTCAGACACTCAGTCAGACACAACGACAACAACAACAGAAAATTGATGAAGTTGATGAAGTTATTCACACAGTAGACTCCAAAAGTGTACATAAAATGGCATTCTTCTTGTTTTCTTAGCAAAACTTTTTTTTTTCTATTTCAGGGTTTTATTTTTTTGCAAATCAATTTGTTGTATTTTTTTTGTGTGATTTTGTCCTGTCCTCAATCGCAAGAGGTTTAAAAGGGGGATAGATAGCTAGATGAAAAAGACAGCCTTTCAATTACGTTTATATTCAATGTTGTTTTATGTCTTATTTATTCTTATTTATGTCTTTCTTCACCTCTAGGGGGAAGAAAGACAGAAAACACAGAAAATGCATTTTCTTATTTGACATCCTTAAAAGTGCCTCAATATAATTGTTTTCAGATTTGTTTTTTCACTGCACATATCCTATTCCCTCTTTCCCTCTCTCTCTCTCTCTCTCTCTCTCTCTCTCTCTCAAAGACACTGGAATAAAGCTGGTCATGCAAGCATAGGCTGACTGGCAGACAGAGGCATGTCGGTTTTAGACTACTCTCAGACAATAAATTGGCCCAAGTTTGGCCAAAGATATTTTGAATGTTATTTATTATTATTATTACTATTATTTATTTATTGTCTGGGTGTTTTTTGTTGGTTTTCTTTATTAACATATTTATCTATTTATCTCTTAATCATATACATATTTTTTATTTTTGAAGACACTTGAGGATTTTGTAATTATTCCATGACCCACACGAAAATGGACGTTTCAGTCAGGTGGGTCAGGTGTATAGACTTATACTTGTTGTAAAAATTAATTTAGGGCTAACCAAGATAATGCAGTTCAGTCAATGTAATAAATATGGTTTTCATAAATAAACACCACTGATAAAAACAACAATGTTTAATTTATTTATGTTTTATTCTTTTTTATTTTAGTGTTGGGAAATAACGCTCAATCTGGTTTGGCTCTGTGTGAAAAATGTAATATTATTTTTATCCAGAAAATCAGGATACCAGTTTTGATTGAATAAGGACCCTATAGCCTCAATCTATTGAAATGATGTCCAGGGCCAATGTGAGCTGATTTAATGTCTATGACTTCTGGTGACAATATTGTCAAAGGGGAGCGGTATGGATGAGATGGATGGAAATGGAAACAGGCACCATCTAAACAGGTTTATACCCCGAGGCCAGAGACTGAAGTGGTAACTGTGTGGTCTTTGTTTACTTAAGTGATAATGCCAGAGAAGCCGGTGTTTGGAGGATATATTGGCATGGGTGTTGTTAGGCAAACACTGGCTTCGAGGGCATAATCACTTAAGTAAACAAAGACCAACGGGTTACCAACATATTCAAATAATGATTGACATATTTTCACAAAAAAATTTATTTTGATGAATTTATTCATACTATTTCATCCTTCTACAAGATATAGTCCCAATACAAATCTAGGATTGCTACCCAATCTGGCTGGTCGTTCGTTCTATCGGTTCGGTTGCCAGAGACGCGACCCAGTCGTTCAGTCTTTTAGTTTTTTATCTATGGTCGCAAGCGAACCAGTCGTTCCTTCTAAATGTTCCATTGCCATACTGGCTGGCAACGACCTTATTCCTTGATTGCTAGCTAGCCAACTACGGCTAACTTACAGTCACGTCAAACAGTGCAGCCAGAATAACAACAGTAGCTGCACTTGCATTTGTTTAAGCTGTTTTCTAGTGACATTTATTTGGATACATCCATAACAACGAGGAAATGAGTCACGATTTCACCTGGCATAGAAAATGTGCTCTCTCGTCAGGGCACTGTTGTTCACAGGAGCTAGCCAACAACACAGCTAACACAATCACTTCAAACTGAAGCTGGAAAGACTGCAAACTAGCTGCACTTGGTTTTGTTTGACCTTTATTCAATTGACATTTCTTTGTATACAGTATATCCATAAAAATTATGCCAGCTGATTCATGATTTCGACTGGCTGAGAAACGCTGCCTGCCTGTCTCGTCCCGACTCCCAACATGTTCATTACTATAGGACAGCTGGAGATCGAATTTGAATATTTGAATAATTGCCAGGCTAGGCTGAAGAGACAGATGAACAGAGTAAATAGGCATTTTAACATCATAGATTTAGCCGGTGGTAACTTGTGGAATAGACACCGGCTGAAAATGCGGATTTAACCAATCAGCATACAGGATTAGAACCACCTGTTGTATAATGAACCATAGTCACCCCCTTCGCTCCTCATCAATTTTGAATAGTGGGCTTTTGCCATTACGAATGTATTGTTTGATCTCTGTGGCTGTTGTGATGGACCAGCACGTCCCCCTGATGTAGTGTGGCCTTCTGAAAATCACAACACTGCCATATCAGCAATGAGTCACCCTGTTACCGACAGTGGGTAGACGCAGTCAAACCAAATACAGACATCAGCACTAAGGGAGGTTGTCCCTCCTGCATAAACATGAGAGAGAGAGAGAGCTAGCTGACAAATACTGAATTGCTCATGGATTTTAAACACACAGCACTCAAAGCCAAAGAGAAACTGAAGCAAATACTGGCGATGATGATATTTTCCGGAATAATTATACGATGTTCAGTGATTTACACATAATTCCAGTATACACTCCCTGGTAGAAGCATGAGTAGTCTTCCTAATGAGGAATAAGCACATGCAGTGTTTTTACCCTACTATCGTTTGTAAGACAGTTAAATCGTCATTCTGGAGGCATTCAATAAGAGAGACTACTTGTGATTGTGCAAATATGAGTTGTCATTGACTATCAAAACTCTAATTGTTTGAGACACCATACAAATTTCCATATACAGTGCATTCGGAAAGTATTCAGAACCCTTGACTTTTTCCATATTTTGTTACTGTCACGGGTGCTGAAGGTGGGTGTGGTGCAGGAATCAAGCGCAGGACGCAGAAACTAAGTCCAAAAGACTTTAGTGAAATATTCACATAGTACATGAGCCCAACAAGCCCGGAGGCGAAATAAAGGCGCACACAGGCGTCAAACAAAAGGCGCACTAACATGTGCGAAAAACCTCTCCAAACAACGGAGGGAAACACGTAGCACAGAACACCAAACAGAAGCGTAATCACACACAACACCTGACACACACAACGAGAACTAAATAGGACACTAATGAAGACTAACTAGAAACAGGTGTACAACATCAAGACCAAACCAAACGAACATGAAACATACAACGGTGGCAGCTAGTACTCCGGGGACGACGATCGCCGAAACCTGCCCGAGCAAGGAGGAGGAGCAGCCTCGACCGAAACCGTGACAGTACCCCCCCCCCCCCTTGACGCGCGGCTCCAGCCGTGCGCCGACCCCGGCCTCGGGGACGACCAGGTGGACGCGGAGCAGGGCGCGTGGGATGGCCCCGGTGGAACTCCGACAGGAGAGACGGGTCTAGGATGTCCCTCCGCGGCACCCAGCACCGCTCCTCCGGGCCGTACCCCTCCCACTCCACGAGATACTGGAGACCCCCCATCCGGCGTCTTGAGTCCAAGATGGACCGAACGGTGTACGCCGGAGCCCCCTCGATGTCCAGTGGGGGCGGAGGAGTCTCTCCTATCTCACCTTCCTGGAGTGGACCAGCTACCACCGGCCTGAGAAGAGACACATGGAACGAGGGGTTAATATTCTTATATTCAATAGGCAGATGTAACCTATAACACACCTCGTTCAGTCTTCTCAGGACTTTAAAAGGCCCCACAAACCGCCAACCCAGCTTCCGGCAGGGCAGGCGGAGGGGCAGGTTTCTGGTTGAGAGCCAGACTCGATCTCCGGGTGCGTACACCGGCCCCTCACTGCGGTGGAGATCGGCGCTCGCCTTGTGTCGACAGATGGCCCGCTGCAGGTGGACGTGTGCAGCGTTCCACGTCTCCTCCGAGCGCCTCATCCAATCATCCACCGCAGGGGCCTCGATCTGGCTCTGCTGCCAAGGTGCCAGAACCGGCTGGTAACCTAACACACATTGGAAGGGGGTTATGTTGGTAGAGGAGTGGCGGAGAGAGTTCTGGGCCATCTCGGCCCAGGGAATATACTGAGCCCACTCCTCCGGCCGGTCCTGGCAATACGACCTCAGAAACCTACCCACATCCTGGTTGACTCGTTCTACCTGCCCATTGCTCTCCGGGTGGTACCCCGAGGTAAGGCTCACCGAGACCCCCAAACGCTCCATGAACGCTCTCCAGACTCGGGAGGTAAACTGGGGGCCTCGATCAGACACTATATCCTCGGGTACCCCGTAATGCCGGAAGACGTGGGTAAATATTGCCTCTGCGGTCTGTAGGGCAGTAGGAAGACCCGACATAGGGAGAAGACGACAGGCCTTAGAGAACCGGTCCACAACGACCAGAATGGTGATATTCCCCTGAGAGAGGGGAAGGTCTGTCACAAAATCCACTGAGAGGTGGGACCATGGTCGTTGTGGAACGGGCAGGGGTTGTAACTTACCCCTGGGCAGGTGTCTGCGCGCCTTACACTGGGCGCACACCGAGCAGGAGGAAACATAAACCCTCACATCCCTGGCTAACGTGGGCCACCAGTATTTAGTGCTAAGACAATGCACTGTCCGGCCAATACCCGGATGTCCAGAGGAGGGTGACGTGTGAGCCCAGTAAATGAGTCGATCCCGAACCTCGAGCGGAACGTACTTCCGACCCACAGGACACTGTGGAGGGCTAGGGTTGGCACGCAACGCCCGCTCGATTTCAGCATCGACCTCCCACACAACCGGTGCCACAAGACAAGACGCCGGTAGTATGGGAGTAGGCTCAACGGACCTCTCCTCCGTGTCATACCGCCGGGACAGCGCATCTGCCTTACCGTTCTGGGACCCAGGGATGTACGTGATTTTAAATACGAACCTGGCGAGAAACATACTCCATCGAGCCTGGCGAGGGTTCAGTCTCCTCGCTGCCCGGATGTACTCCAGGTTCCGATGGTCAGTCAAAATGAGGAAAGGGTGTTGAGCCCCCTCAAGCCAATGCCTCCACACCTTAAGGACGTCATAATTTCG